GGTAGTATCTGAACAAGGCAGGGCAGGTTGAGGGTGTTCCGGGATAATGCACCTCCTGCAGCTCCTGGCGCTGGGTCCAATCCTGCCTCAAGGCTAGTCTGTGGGTAATGCCTTAGGGGCTCCACTGGACAGCTGTAGATTTAGGGACTAGGTCATCCCACTTCAGTAGGTAGCATAGTTTAAGGCTTAGAGTGTGTGCATTTACATTTGTGTGCCAGGGATGCTGTAACAAAATGTCACAGACTGGGTGGAGCAAACAATAAAAACTTAACTCGCTTCTAGTTCTGAGGCTGGAAGCCTGTAATTTGGAGAGGGCCTACTTGATAGATGGCTACCTTCTCACTGTGTTTTCATATGAGACTTTTCATGTTTATTTTTTCTAACATCCTTAGAAAGAAAAAGAAAAAAAGACCATCTGTTCTCTCCTCTTACAAGGGCACAAATCCCATCAGGTCAGGGTTCCTTAATCCTATTTATAACCTCATTTCATTTTAAAGATTCATGTCTAGATACAGACATCTGCCCTTGGGGGATAAGGCTTCAGCGTATACATTTGAGGGTAGGGAGACTTGGGGGGGGCAGACAGATGAAATCCTGAGTAAATATGTATTGTTGATACCAAGATGGCCATGTCAAGGACCCCAGTGCCTCAGACTCACGGAAATGGCAAGGTCTCCCCACAGTCTGTGTGCGAATGTTGGCAGTATGCAGTAAGTGTCAATCCTAGCTCCATCCTCCTGTGGGTAAGTAATGAGTGGAGGAATTTCCCCTCGGTGGTTCTAAGTGCAGTCCAGCCCGACTATCCAAGACTTGCCCAGCCTTGTAGGACTGGTGTCGCCAGGCCATGGAAAATGTTGGATTGCCTGCTATCCTTCAGGGGAGCTGTCAGGGCTACATTTGCCTTCAGGGATTTCCAGCTGGGAAGTAGGGAAAGAACACGTGTTTAGACAGTGGCAGCCCAGAGAGAAGGTCAGGGAGCACTAGAGTCCTGTGCACAGCACTTCTGCTCTTCTGAGAAAGGATGGCATGCACTGAATTCCGCCAGCTAGCCTGATCAGCTTACATTGGTGCAAGCCTTTAGTCTCTGGAGGCAGAGGTGAATGCGTCTCTGAGAGTTCAAAGCCAACTCAGTCTACACAGGAAGTTCCAATTCAGCCAGAGCTACATAGAGAGACCCTTTCTCAAAACAACAACAAAAGCCCAAACAACAACAACAAAAAACAAAGCAAACATATGAACATTCAGATTATAAAAGCAACACAAGTTTATTGATTATAAAACATTTTGAAAATAGTGGGCCCATGACGAATATCATAATCACCTGGGCGTCCAGGGCTGAGTTCCCGCTACTAACTTCCCTTCTGCTTGCCCATCCTGAAGCTGAAGTGCACCCCTTCCCCTGGGGTGTGTGTGACCTTCAACAGGCCCCCATGGCCCGTCCCTCCAAAACTCCGGTTTCCTCCTGTTCACTGAGGCTGGCACTTCCTGCTGCGTTCGCTCTTCACAGGGTAGCACAGAAAGTGCTGGGCTCTGACAGTCACTGCTACTATTGCCCTCCCAGATAGTGCTCTTGGCAGAACTCAGAGCAGAATCCCCTGTAAGCTGTCCCTGCCTCGTCCTTCCGGTTTCCTGCCCCACACATGCGCTGTGAGCACCAAGGCAAACCAGTATTGTCCTCTAGAACAGGAATGTGAGGATGGAGCAGCGTCCCAGCATACGGGAGCCTTAAAACTGCTTGGAAAGGCAAGGGATGTGTATCTGCACCTCCCCCCCCCCTGCCACCATCATTTTGTCACAAAGACCAGTCTCTTTGTCACAACTGAGCTTGGCTCTGAAATGAGAGAGAAGGGAAGAAGGCAAAAGAAATTTTGACCTGAGTACTTTTCCCATCACCTGAAAACCAAAACCATTTTCAGATTTTTGTTTTTCGAGACAGGGTTTCTCTATAGCTTTGGAGACTATCCTGGAATTCACTCTGTAGACCAGTCTGGGCTTGAGCTCACAGAGATCCACCTGCCTCTGCCTCCCGAGTGCTGGGATTAAAGGCGGGGGCCACTACTGCCTGGCCATTTTCAGAATTTTACTTACAAAGTTAAGACTCCAGTTTTCAGAGAGTGGGACAAAAGAGCCCTTGAAATGTGTCTGGCCTCGACAACAGGGCTTGTTGTTCCCCCCCATCTTCTCCAGTCTCTCCATTGCAGCTCCTCCGTAGCCTGTTTGTCAGTACCTCCCACACTGGGGAGCAAGGTCTCCCCCAGGGTCAGAGGTCAGAGTGATACCTCGTAGGGGCACAGCTGTTACTCCCAGCCACCTGTCTATGTCCCAGCATGCCCCTGGGTAACAACCCGAGTGCCAGTTTCTCCCCAACAGTTCAGGAGCGCCTGGTGGCTAGATTTAGAGGGTACTGGATTCTCTCCTGGGGTTGTTTCCACAAATGCAAGCATAGGCAGTTGACAAAAACATGAGACGTCTGCTCTAACCAACCACATACAGGAGAACAAGCCAAACACTCCGGGTTGCTGTTGAGTCTTCTTGCAAAGAGATGTTTCTTCCACAGATCCAAGACCTGATGAGAGAAAATACGTCTCTTCTTTTACTCTGTTCACCTCACTTTGCTATGTTAGGAGCATGATCTGGTGTCCAAGACCGCCAGATGTTCCAGAACCTTCTGACACTGGCCTGTCCTGATCATGCCGTCAGTAGCTGAGGTCTTTTGTCACTTAGTCACTGGTTTCACATGTTGTCATGGTGAGCTTCAGTTATCTCCGTGACATACCTGGAAAGAGGGAACCTCGGCTGAGGGATTGTCTCCATCAGACTGGCATGCAAGCATGTCTATAGGGCATTTTCTGAATTGCCGATTCTGCAGGGGACCCAGTCCATCTGGGGTGGGGCTGTCCCTGGGCAAGTGGACCTGGGGCGTATAAAAAGGAAGCCATGGGGGCCAGTTCGTGGCGCTCCTCCATACTCTCTGCTCCAGATCCTGCCTCCGGATCCCTGCCTGGAGCTCTTGCCTTGACTTCATAGTGGGCTGTAACCTAAAGCTAAAATAAACCCTTTCCTTCCATTTGCTTTTGGCCATGATACTTATCACAGCAACATAAGCCAAGAAAATTCATGTACCCTCTACTAGATCCTGGGGAAGAGCAGAGCTGAGGACAAAGGGGACTGTGGGATTCTGCTGTGAAGCCTTAGACTATATGTTGGCGTAGAATCCAATTCCATGGAGCACTTGAGTCTGTAGAAGATGCAGGGAGAGTCAGAGGAAGTGTCTTCATAGAGAGGACAGTAGGATGGAGTCCTGAAGGATGAGACATTTACCATGTATGAAAGTGGACTTCAAGCTGTGTATAGTACACTCAGTAGGCAGAGGCAGATGAACTCTGTAAGTTCTAGTCTAAAGAGTGAGTTCCAGGGCATTCAAGGCTGCATAGTGAGACAATGCCTATAAATACATACATACATACATACATACATACATACATACATACATACATGTTTCATTTGAGTTCTAAGTCTCTGGGGTTGGATGTTTGGCCATAGGTGGTTTTTCAACACTTCAACAAGTTTACTACACATTATCAGCCAGTTACCAAGGCTTCAAGGGTAGTAGACTTTTAAGGACTCTCCAGGGGCATGAAGGCCACTGACTCTATATGAACACTGTCATGAGTTAGACAGTCATGGGGGTTTGGAGACCTTGGCTCTCTGAGACATGCCCCAGGAGCCTTCTATACCATGGAGGTCTATAGAGATACTGGTCATATAAGCCAGATTGGTTGACCTGGCTGTTTGGTAGTCACAAATTCTTTAGAAATTTCATCTTTCTCACCTGTAAAATGTGACTCTGAGTGAAATTTTGGGAATAGAATCAAATAGTAGGTATGAAGTTTTAAACTGGCACAGGGTTACATACTTGAAACTCCAGTACTTGGGAAGTAGATTGGAGGGAACAAAAGTTCAAAGCCAGCCAGGACAAAAGAGGGATGTATATATTCAGATAGCATTCTGGAAAGGTAAGAAGGGATGTCTTGGGGGCTGGGGAAATGACTTGGACAATAAAGTACTTGCTCACAATCATGGGGGCCTGAGTTCAGTCCCCAGCACCCATGCGGAAAGCTGGGTGTGGTGGTACACCCTGGGGATTCCAGAGCTGGACAGCAGGGACAGGAGAATCCTGGGACCTGCTGACCAGCCAGCCTACCATAATTGGAAAGCTCCGAGTCCAGGTCAAAGATCCTTTCTCAAGAAACACCGCAAACAGGGTTGGAGAGATGGCTCAGCTGTTAAAAGTCCTAGCTGTTCTTCAAGAGGGCTGGGGTTGATTCCCAGAATCCATATGGTGTTTCACAACTATCCTTAACCCAAGTTCCATGAGATTCCTACAACCCTCTTCTGACCTCCTTGGGCACCAGGCACACACATGGCACACATACATATATTCATACACATAATAAAAAAACCTGTAGGGCCGTGGTGGAGCACACCTTTAATCCCAGCACTCGGGAGGCAGAGGCAGGAGGATCTCTGTGAGTTCGAGACCAGCCTGGTCTACAGAGTAAGTTCCAGGACAGCCTCCAAAGCCACAGAGAAACCCTGTCTCGAAAAACCTAAATAAATGAATAAATAAATAAACCTAAAAAGATTCTTTTTAGAAAGGAAAGACAGTGAGCAGTGCCTAAGGCATGACACCTAAGGTTGACCTCTGACCTCCACACGTGTTTACACCCATGCATGTGTACTCCTACACACTCGTCCATACCTTATATAGCCCAGTCCTCCCAACTTCTGTATTAATGCCGTTGGGTCATGATTCCCAATGAAAACCCGCAATGAGATGGGGGAAAGGCTTGTGATTGAAGCTTCCTGTGGGACCAGTTTTTTGTTTTTTTCAGGCTCTCCATCTCTATTCCCAGGCTGTGAAACCGAGCTCCCAGAGAAAGGGGTGGGCTTCGGTGACTGTGAAGCCTCACTAACCAGAGTCCACTTACCTTCCCTAGGAACATGCTTGCCAATTCAGCCAGTGTGCGGATCCTCATCAAGGGGGGCAAGGTTGTGAACGATGACTGTACCCACGAGGCAGATGTCTACATTGAGAATGGCATCATCCAGCAGGTGGGCCGTGAGCTCATGATACCTGGAGGAGCCAAGGTGATCGACGCCACTGGGAAGTTGGTGATCCCCGGAGGGATTGACACCAGCACCCACTTCCACCAGACCTTCATGAACGCCACGTGCGTGGACGACTTCTACCACGGGACCAAGGTAATCCTCCTCTGTGCCCAAAGTGACTTTCTCCTTCCTGGGACTGCTCCAGATAAGCCACACATGAACCAATACTTCCCAGGGCTGGAGAGGTGGCTCAGTTTACAGCACTGGCTGCTCTTCCAGAGGTCCTGAGTTCAATTCCCAGCAGCCACATGGTGGCTCCCAACCGTCTGTAATGAGATCTGGTGCCCTCTTTCTGGCCTGCAGGCAGAAATGCAGACAGAACACTATGTATATATAATAAATAAGTAAATCTTTTAAAAAAAGTTTCTCTAGGAATCGATTCGGGGGCAATTAGACTAGGGGTTTCAGCGAAATATCCTGGATCATTTAAAAGGAAGAATTTAGTTCTGCTTAGTTGATTGAATTACCCATGGACCAAGACAGAAGCTGACTTTACTTTTATATTGTTGTGTCACAGAACACAGACCTAGGAGGAAGATGAGAATCAGCTAGTGTTTGTTCTGTGCACGTCAATTGGTAGACTTGTTTATGCATGGTAAACTAGATTAAGTCACCAATGTCTGTGACAGACTGTAAAGTCACCTCTAGTTGTTTTAAATAACAGAGAATATGAACGATTCATAGCTATCTTCTGTAACCCTCTCCTAGTTTGTTTGTCTGTGTTTGAGACAGGGTCTTACTACCTAACCCTGGCTAGCCTGGAGCTCACTCTGTACACCATGCCCTGTGTTTGAGACAGGGTCTTACTACCTAACCCTGGCTAGCCTGGAGCTCACTCTGTACACCATGCCCTTTGCTTCTTTTTGTTTTTTGAGACAGGGTCTAGCTCTATAGCTTAAGCTGGCCTCTAACTCAAGACAATCCTCCTGCCTCAGCTTCTTTGAGTCAGCTTAGATAGTAGTAGTGAGTTCTCTTTTTCCTTGTGAGTATCTCAGGCACAGTTTATCACCTGAACAGCTGTGTGTAAGCTACCATGCATTCCCAAACACAAAACCTAGAAATCCAGACTTGAGAGACAGGTAAGTCAAAAGAAAACTACATTTTAAAGAAGAAGAAGAAGAAGAAGAAGAAAAAAAAAAGATCCCCAAGTGGGTGGAGCCCTGGTCATTGCTGCTATTCCTCATCTTTGTAATGAACTGTCTGTCACATGCCAGCCTCTCCCTAGACTTCAGATCATGGTCTAGCAGAGGGCAGGGCCTTTTTGGACTCCTCTGCTCCTCTGTGCCTGTAGATATTTGCCTAGTGAGTAAGTGAGCATTGCTTAGTGATGTGGGTCTTTAGCAGGTGTCAGAATCACAGTAGTGCGGTTTTAAAATGCAAAGCTGAATCAATCCCCTGGGACACACGTCCCCTGTCATGGCTGCCATTCCCTTGGAGGGCCTGACCTATGGAGGACTCACCTCTAATGCATGCTGCCTGAGGAAAGGGGTTGACCAGCTTCTGGCCCTGTGCCTGCGGTTCCATGTCCTACGCGGGCCTGCAGCCTCAAATCCACCGTGGTCCTGACCCTGAATCCCCCAAGCTCAGGACTCTCCCTGAGAGATTCATTTTCGGGGGGGGGGGCTCAGATGTTCCTGCTGTTAAGCAGTGACTGACAGGTCCCTCAAGCCCACCCTGAGGATTCTAGCTGGGGCTTTAGGGACAGGAGAGGCTGGGCTCTGTCTATAGGTTTGTCTATTCAAGGCAAGTGGCCTAGAGGTCTCCCTGGGGTGAAGACATACCCATTTCCAAACCCAGACACTGCAGAGTAGATGCTTGGAAGGGGTCACATTGTGACAGATCACAAGCCCAGCCTCTGTGCTGTGATAAGTAAGATTTTTCCTGGCTCTGAGAACTATCACAGTCTGAGGAAGAAAAGGCAGTGGTCACGCTGCCTTCTCCTCTAATTCCCCCTGCCTTCTGCAGGTGATATTTCACTTGTGAGATAGGAAATCCCATCCTCATAAACCTGGGGTCTTTTTGCAGGCTGCTGTGGAGGCACTCGGGACTTTATTCTTAAAGTCAGTAAATATATCTGGTCACCACCCTGAGCACCAAGGCCAGGTCTATTTTGTTTGTGGTTATTTTCTTTCTTTTCAGTTTTTCAAGGCAAGGTCTCTCTGGGTAGCTCTGGTTGTCCTGGAACTCTCTCTGTAGACCAGGCTGGCCTTGAACTCAGAGATCTACCTGCTTCTTCCTCCTGAGTTCTGGGATTAAAGGTGTGTGCCACCACCCGGCTGTTTGTGGTTATTTTCATTACTAATTTTATTAAGGCACAATGTACACACAGAGGTGTACGTGGACACCCGGAGTCGTCACACCTGAACATGCTCTTGTCACAAGCTCCTTTTCAATGAACCAAGACCCAGAAGCCCTGCCCAGTCTCCATCAATGGTAACTACTATCCTGACTTCAAATACTACAGATTTTTTGATATAACAGTGAGGTATTATTCACAAATCATATAATTCACTATTTAAAGAATACAAGGGGGTGGGGACACATCTGTAATGCCCGAACTTGAGAGACTGAAGTGGGAGAATTGTTGCAAACTTGAGGCCAGACTGGGCTGCACAGAATTGGGTCAGCCAGGGCTACATAGGAAATGTCTCAGAGCGAATTAAAAAAGGTAGATAAAACCAAAGCAGTTGAGCCAGTGGATTTTAGTACATTTGTTACAGATTGGTTTTAAGTGTTTGCCTGAGGCTCTTTATGTAAATGAAATCCAAAACTTCTTACAAGTTGTTGCATGTTATTGTCTGTTGGGTGTCCTGGCTTTGTGGCATCGCACATAGAACATCTGGTCCTCCAGTACTGTTGCTCTGGGTGTTTCTGTGGCTGTCTTTTGGCAGGCGTATGTGTACACAGTGCTGCATGTCCCTGGGGATGTAGCTGCCAGGTCATGGTGTGTTTCACAGGCGTGTTCAGCACTTGTAGATACTGCCCAACAGCTTCCAAACTGGTTAGGCCAACTTCAACCCTAGCAGGTAGTGCAGAAGGCACAGTGATTAACATGACTGATAAGCAGCCCAGTCAGTCTTAGGGCCCATTCTGAACTATGCTCAGGTCTTGAGCCAAGAGCTATAGCTTGCTGGTTGCTGCCTCTGCCTCTGGGAGACCTTCAGTGCTGAGCCGGATGCCACGCTGTCACTGGGCTTTCTCCCAGCCTCACAGAGGTCACAGTGCCCGTCTTTGTCCTCTTTTCCGCGTTGCCTATGGCCAGGGCCTCATTAGCCAGGAGTGACAGGCTTTCCCCTGAGAGCCTCCAACTCTTTATAACTGATCAAGAGCTCTTTGCGTGGCTGTCTGGGCCAGGTGGAAGGGAACCCTTGATCTTTTCCAGGCTACTCATCCATTAGGACAGAGAATACCAGGGAACATCCAAAGGCCCCTGTGGGATTAAAGGCCCCTCGTTCTGCAGGTGTGGGCTGCTGCAAACACCCCCATTCTGTGTAATGCAGTGTTGGAACTTAAATGGAAGATATTCCTCCACCAAGCCATCCTGGTTCCGTGTGCGTGCGTGCGTGCGTGTGTGTGTGTGTGTGTGTGTGTGTGTGTGTGTATGTGTGTGTGTTTTGTTTCTGTGTGTGGTATGCATGTAGGGGTAAGAGGACAACTTGGTGTAATTGGTTCTCTCCGTCACATGGGTTCAAGGGAGGGTACTTATGTTGCCAGGATTGCTTGGCAAATACCTTCCCCTGCTGACCCATCTCACTAGCCTCTAAATGAATTTTTTTGATCCATCTCCTAAGCAAGCCTTCTATGCCTCAGTGTTGCTGTAGTTTTTTGTCCTGCCAGGTCCTGCCGCCACTTCAGCTCCAAATAAACACACAGAGACATTATATTAGTTATTAAATGTTGGCTGATGGCTAGGGCTTCTTACTGGCTAGCTCTGTCTTAATTATTAACCCATTTTTATAAATCTATGGATTTCCACATGGTATTGACTTATCAGAGAATGCCTGGACCTGTTACTCCTTTGTTGGCTACATGGCATCTCCTTGAGGTGTTGCTCTGCCTCTTTTTCCAGAATTCTCCTCATCTCCTAGTCCCACCTATCTTCCTGCGTCTACTGGCCAAACAGTATTTTATTCACCAACAAATAAGAGAAGCACATATACAGAAGGACATCCTCCACCAACCCCAGCCTTCCTATTGTCCACCATTTAGATAACAAAGCCCTTGACCTCCTCAGAAGCTCTGTCTCAAGTCTCCCAAGAAGGGACTACTTCCCTGCCGTCTCCTTCAGTGACCCCCACATCTCCCCTCCAGCTGCTGCTCCTACAGCAAACCTTCTGATTCCCTGTCTCAACTAGACCCTGGTAGGAGAGCTGCTTCCCTGTTGACACTGACTGCTGGGGGTGGGGTGGAGGACTGTGGGTTTAATTATGCCAACTTGGCCTTCATGAAAAGGTTGTACTCCGAATGAATGGCCACCGATCTGCTTAGCTTGACCAGGAAAGACTCATTGACTCTAAGGATGTGGGTTTATAATAGAATCGCAGTCCAGAGGAAAAGCTGTGAGATTGGCCAACGGAGCAGGAGGGATCAAGTCGGCTCTTTTCCTGCCGGTTTGGCAGACCTACTTGGGTCTTGAACCCACCCCCGGTGCATGGCCTTCTCAAAGTTTCCATGCTTAATGTTTGGAGACCAGCCATCAGGCCTGGGAGAGAAAAATAGTTGAAAGCCTGTCTTTGCCAGGAGCATCTGGGAGTCCATTGTGCTGAGTCTGAAGGGAACTCTCTCCAGCACTGCAGCAAGCCGGTGGCAGGCTCTGCCTTGCTCTCCTGCCCATAGCTGCATCGCATGATCCACTATTGTCCTGCCTGCCCCAGGCCCCGCCTCCCCCACGCCACTCCAACCTACAGGCTTCCCCTCAAGCAGGACCAACCACCTGCAATAACCCAGGTTCCATTCCTGAAGCTGTTTCACACTGTGGGGAGGCAGATGTAGGGAGAGAAACATCCAGTGACGCAGTTGTGTACGTAGGAGTGTCCTCTCTGTGGGTACCTCCTGTTGTGCCACCAAGGACAGTCATATGGATGCCTGTCAGT